AGCCATAAAAAAAGAATAAAACATTTCGGCTGTTTCACCTGTAGCTTAAACTTTTTATACTAAGTCTGTATATTTTAAAGCAGAGGACTCCTAGAGTAATAGACATATTAATGTCAGGATCTGTGATATTCAGTTATTAGTTCTTTTAGTTTTATTTTTAGATTTATTGCCTTGATGCTCTTTTCTGTGTTCTGGCGTTCTTGAGTTTTTATCTGATCGGTTTCTCAGTGACATTAGTTTCCTTAACTTTAGATCCTGATCAGTCTGTTTCATCTGATCAGTCTTGCGTTTGACCCGTGTTTCCTGTGCCTTCTCTCAAACTGGGCGTTTTCCCGGTCAGCCTGCCACACTCACCTGTCCCCAGTCAGTAATCAGCCCAGGTGCCTCCACTTTTCTCTGCTCAGTCATCACTACTTACCAGCAGTGCATTGTTGACCTTTATGCCAAAAATCTGGTTTCCCTCAGAGCTTTTCCTTGTGATCCACTTTGAGTTTCCTCCTGTAAGATTTTGCTGCTACATCAACCTTTTGTTTTCATTTTTACAATGAAATTTTAAGGTTTTTTTTGTTTGTTTCTAAGCTTCTCATGTGCAGATGCTTCCAATGTTATCACCCATTTAATGTTGTCCGCCATTTGCCAAGGTGGAAGTAACGACTTAAAAATACTCACATTACTGTAATTATGTAGATTTTTTGGGGTACTTGCACTTTTATGAGTATTTCTTTCAACTGTGTAAGACCATGTAATCTACTTTGATACTTTTAAAATCAGAAATCGCTACGGAGTACGGCTGCAATTTGAATTAATATTCAAACCGTTCATCTGCATCTTTGTAGCCAATAAGGCTCTCAGATCGCGAACGTGCCAATTACCTATGACGTAAGCAAAGGACAACTCCGTAGAGTAGAGAGTCATTTATGGACTGAAGATTTGGAGAAAAAGCCAAAATGGAGACAGAGGACAACACTGTCAACAGATACAGAAGTAACTAATACTCTGAGTAGTTTTTGAGAAAAGTACTTTGTACCTTTTTACTTAAGTATTTTTTATAACACCAGCACTTTAACTTGTACTTGAATCCAAATTTTCAGTACTTTTTCCACCTCTGGTTATTAGTTATCCTCACAGAGTGTGTTCAGACTGTCCCTCCTGTATTTCCTAATAGGTTTGAAGGTACGTTCTTATCGCTGATAATATGCAGCTTCGCACGCGTGTAAAACTGGAAGCTTTAATTGTTAGCTTTATTTACATGTAACCGTTTTCCTAAATCTAACCTTTCACCTGACCTAGAGCACTGACCCTACACTTAACCCGCTGACCCTTGACATACAAAAAACTATCAGCGTGTACCTTTAAACCTACTAGGAGGTAGAGGAGGGACAGTCTGAACACAACCTATGGGGACGATGACAACTAATAACGGACATTTAATGGCTGATAACATTTGAAGCAGGTGCCATGTCAGTCTGCATTCTAGATTCAGTCCTCCTGTGATCACAACAATGGATGCAACAATTTTATATATATATATGTTTTTTTTAATAAATGAAGTGACAGCGTGAAGTTCACATTGTTTATTCAGTTTTAAACAAAGAAATCTGAATGTGACTTCCAGGACAGCAACTACAAGTAAACTGGGATAATGTAAACAAAATGACCTTGAAGTGGAGGAGAGTCTTGAAGCATCTCAGATGGGCTTCAATCATTTTGAAATCATGAAGGATCCACTGCATTATAACACAATAAGTTCATGAACAGACCAATATTTCAAAAGTGGAGGCAATCATACCAGAAACACTCTTTTAACACTGAACACTTACTGTTTTCCAGTCTCAACATAAAAGCTTGATTCAATACAAGAGATACATGTGAGATGACATGTGTATACTGTAAAATAACATTTTTATGTCCGAACACGTTTCTCTGTCACCAGACCAAGTAAACAATGCAGACTGTCTTCTAAAGAAGCTTTAAAACATCTTTCATTGTAAAAAGGAGCTTATATTTAATGATGAAGTTATACTGTATTTTCCGCCATACACGTCGCGTTGCCCTATAAGTCTCATCAGTCCAAATATGTCTAATAAAGTGGAAAAATCCATAAATACGTCACTTCACCATATACATCGCATCTATTATGCATCACTGCTGACACGTCGCATTTGATACGCATCACCACTGACAACCCGGATATGAGGGACGGTGTTGTGCCAAAAATCGATTGGCTGCCAAATTGCAGGAGAGTGCACAGGAGGACTTTAACAAGAATTTAACAAGATTAAGACTTAAAAACAATCATTTGTTTGCTCGAAATTATTTTCAAGATGTTTCTCAGTTTAACTTTTGCTTAAAAAATGCACTTTGACGGTCAAATCTGCTGTATTTCAGAAGCCAATACGCAGAAGTAGGAATGTGCAAAGGGACGAGTCGCTGCTCATTTCATAGAAATTTAACAAGATAAACACCTAAAACAATTATTTGTTTGCTCAACATTATAGCAAAGGTGTGTCTCAGTTGAACTTTAACTTAATAAATGCACTTCAATGGTCAAATTAGCTGCATTTCTCTGGGGTGGTGCAGCGAAATGAAGCTGATTTGACTGCTGCTCTAAGCGAGCTGGAATAAGGCAAGCCGATTGTGTCATTAATAGTCACTTTTACCTATTACATGACACAATGGCAGGCTATACTACTCTGGTGCCATCTAGGTGCTGAAAATGGTAGTGTTCAATATTTTCAGTCAGAAAGAATAAAAACGGTCATATCTCAGCCAAAAATTGGTTTATAAATATGAGGGAAAATCCATAAATACGTCAGTTTGGCGTATAAGTCACAGGACATGCAAATTATGCAAAAAAGCATGACTTATACAGCAAAAAATACGGTACCTCAGTCTTTTTCCAAAGTTGCATTGTGAAACCACATACAGACCTTACAGCACCTTCTAGCTGCTTCAGTTCAGATAAAAAACACTTTTTCTATCTTCAGCTATTTGAAGCTAATAAAACGATTGCATCACTCTTACTGGTGATCACATTTTGCATGATCCTCTGGTGTAAAGTTGTTTCATTTAACTTTTGTTGTCTGTTGTTAAGCAAACACGTTTTTGCTTTGCTTTCACATGCATGCGTGATGAACTTGCACACACCAGAGACATTTATCACGATGCACTCCTGGTCCGGTGACAGAGAACAGAACCAACACAAAGCACCATAACACTAATTTGCACTTGGGTTGTTTTGAAAGTATTCCAATAAGGTTTTTGTTGTTCAATCAGTTCTCCCTTCATAAATCTCTCTTTTTAAATCGTTTCAAGGACTCTCCAGGATTTGACTCTGAGGGCATCCTAAAAAAGGTGAAACACATCCAGTTGCATTTGGTAAACTCATTGGATTATATAAAAGCAGAAGCAGCAAAATGCATCCTGCATGTCCTGCCATCAAGTTGAATACTACAATAGTGAGTTTTTACTTTAAGTCAAAGTGTAACATTACAACCCTTAAAATAGGGTTGGATAATAGCCCTTCTATGCACAAGAAAGTAAAAGTCTAAATCTAAAGTCCAGAAAGAACGATCTTTACTGTTTGGGATAATGCAAGGAGTTCTCTAACAGTATTTAATCAGAGGAAAGAGATTTGTATCAGTTTGCTTTAAAATGCACAACTGATCTATGCGACATCTCAAGAGGTATTGGTTTGGAGAAAAAAAATAAAACGTGTGCGCCATAGCATCTGAGAGAGCAGGCCTCTTATCAAGACTGTACCTTTCATACAGAAAGCATGTGGATCTAGCTTAGCATAATTTCATGAGATTTCCACTCAAGGAATGAAATTAGATGCTAAGCAATGTCTGCTTTACAGAGAGGGCCCAGTTAAACCTGATAACACAGAAATGTGATTTTTTTTTTTTCACATTAGAGGAGAAATGCAAATATCTTAACTAAAATCTACTAAACAAGGATTAATGGAGTTTTTTTTTTTCTTTTTGTAAAAGGCAAGGAACCTGCATAACAATTCAAGCCTTAAGCTTAAGCCAAGGCCATTTCTTCACATGGAGAGATTGAGAGAAAAAATGAACATGTATTTTAAAAATGAGATGACGCCTTCCAGTTTTTTTTTTTTTTTTTTTTTTACCAGTTGAGAGAAAAAAAAAAGCCTCCTCGTTGAAATGTAAAAGTAAATAAGATTTGCAACATTAAATAAGGAGAGCTCTTTAGGAGTGCTGTCCCTTCACATGTTAGAATATAAGAGGTGGTCATTACAGAAGCACATAAACCATGTGCTCTCTAATGTCCATTTCTGACAGTACTCATTTAGTAGATCCAGGCTGATGAGCGAACGTTTCTCTCTGCAGCTCCAGAAAGGTGCATGGTAACAAAAGAAGTCTATTTCTATTATTGCTACAAGCCACCATGTCTGTTTTCTGTGTTGCACAATGCAACAAGGACAAAGGCAGATTCAGCATCTACCACTTTTCTTTTTCTTTCTTTTAAAGGCCACTGTGTGCAGACTGGAAGACTTTAACCTTGACAAGGACAGGACATGGGCGGCGTTTTCTACTGAGATCTGAGCGACCATTTTTCCATTATTCTGCTGCTCTTATCTACAGAAACACTAAAATCCGGTTAAATGGAGCCATTTTCTCATTTGCCTTTAGAGGTCATTTTACATGCTTGAAGAACTCCAGTAATTTAGATGGCACTAGGGGTTCCATTGTAATCATAGCTAGTGCAGCGAGGGTCCAAAAGCTCGGGCTGCACAGCCCGGCAGAAAGTCACAGACCAGAGCTGGAATTTTCTCTGCGCCTCACATCCAACCATGTAGCTATGAACCAACAGTTACAAGAAAGTAAAAAGAAGTTACTGTTGATCAATTAAAAAAGAAATAATAGGTCCCAAATACTACTTTAAACCCTGAAGGTAGCGTTGAACTATTTGCAGAAACTGCTACAAAGAGTGGGTGTAGCACTTTATGTATGCAACAAGAAGCTGGTATTTGTTCCCGGGCTTTGAGAATGCACAGCAGACATGCACTGGATAGGCAGTGCCAAAAAAGGGCCCCTCAGGAAGAGAAGCAAAGGCTGCAGCACTCCATACAGATCTCCAAGCAATCTGCAGACTCGCAACAGGCGTCGATGATGCCGCAGTCCATGTCACAGGGCAGGTCACAGTCACCGCACTCCTCCGACACACAGCAGCAGCAGAAACACGAGTCGTCGCCCGCGCAGGAGCCGCAGGTGGCGCAGTCCAGCACGATGTTGCACAGGGTTAGGAACTCACAGAAGAGGCAGGCCAGGATACAGTGAACACAGCAGTCTGGGTTAAAAAAAAGGCAGAAAAAAGAAGTTTTAATGGTTAATTTCTCTCAGGTTGTTTTCGTGATCGTGTGATATGCATGAAAGAAAAGGCAATGCCACAAACCTGTTAACCCTAATGATCAGTGTATGAATAAAGTATGCTGGTGTAGATTCTCAGTAATCCAGTCATGGTCGGATCAAAAGAAAAGTTAAAAACAAAAACAACTGGACTTTACTTTGTTGTCATTCGCAGCTTGTTGACAACAAGAAGCTGGACTGTTTGGTGAACATGGGAAGAGACGGAAGCCTCAACACTGAAGTCTACAGGAAACCCACTCGCACAGATCAGAACCTTCTGTTTGGGTCTCAGAACCCACCGGAACATAAACTTTCTGTCATTAGAACTTTAAACTGCTGAATGCACTTGCACTACATGCTGAACATGTCCCCACAAAGACAGAAGGAAGAGAACCACATCAAAGAAGCTCTCCAAACCAATGGATATCCTAACGGGGCCTTTGTCAAATCTGCAAAGACATCCCTAAAACTTGCAGCAGAACAGGGAGAAGAACAAACACAAAAAAAATCATTATCATCCCATCTTTTCTGGAGTATCTGAAAAACTCGGAAGGGTTTTCTGCAAACACAATATGCCGGCACATTTCAAACCCAACAGGACCCTCAGACAGAGGCTGGTCCATCCCAAGGACGGCACCCCCAAACCCAAACTGAGCAGTGTGGTGTCTGCAGTTCAGTGCTGCGAGGAATGTTCAGACCTCTACATTGGAGAAACTGAGCAACCTCTTCACAGACAACACAGGAGCGCAGCTCTTCAGGACCAGACTCAACGGTCCACCTACACCCCAAGGATAAGGGACACTCTTTTGAGGACCAGAATGTTCATATTTTGGACAGATATGACAGATGATTTGAGAGGGGGCCATTTACATCAAACGAGGAAAAACTATTAACAGAGGAGGAGGTCTCAGATTTCAACTTTCAAAATCTTACAACGCATCATTAGGCCTGATTCCCAGTCAACAGTCCCAGTTCATGCAGGAACATCTCTGTGAGCCAGGCAGACAAAGAGCCTAACGAGCCTCTATTGTGCAGGGCGAGTAGATCCAGTCTAAACGGCATGTGAATTTAATGCTTCTTATGCATTGGAAACCAAGGTCCAAACCTGAACTGGCCACGGTTCTGGTTTTGTTTGCTCACAGCAGCCACCTTGATGTGGGTGAGGGATCGTCATAGTAAGACTCAGTTCAGCAAATGACGAGCACCTCGTCTTTTGTCCAGGGCACTGGTGCTATCGCCTGTGTTGCCATTTTTTCTAAAGAAAAAGCTCTGTCACACAACCAGCCAGAAGCAAGTTACTGAAAGTATAATCTGTGATGCCCCCCCCCCCCCCCACCAGGCCAGTGAACCAAGCGATGCCCAGCAGTCTGTTGATGCCAGATATGCAGCACCAGCCTGTTCCAAATGGAACTCCAGGTCCCTGAGTTCCAGACTGTCTAATGCCAACACTCGAAACCCAGGAAAGATCCCGGGTCAGGCCAGTCCAGGTTGGGCCAGATCTTAAAATGCATAAGGGCCCCAAGTACACAACCAGGTCTCTCATGAAGCTCTAAAGAGCAGTGAACTCCACACACTCCAGACATTTTAGAATTGATAAAGCCTCACGCATGGGAAGAAAAACATCTTAAGCTTCAGAATAGAAGTCCAGCTGTTTTTGTTTATTTACCTGTTGTAGTTAAAATTAAAAATAATTTCCATCCTCACAAGATACTTTTTTAAAATAAATATGTTGTTACCCTTGAATTCAACATGATAGTTCAGTTGCTTATGCTTAAAATACTTTGTATAAAGGTGAGCAAAGTCATTAAAGAAAACAAGAAATGTAAATATCCTGTACCAACATTTATTCCTTAACCTGCACGTAGTATGATGGTGACTGAATGATGTCAAATTACATGAAAACAATCACTTTTGATGTCATCTCTCTTTAAAACCCTTATAATTAAAAGAACTGAAATTGTACTTGTTTTTTTTTTTTTTTTCTTAATTTGACTGAACCAAAGAATAAAACACTCCAGGAAAAAGACGTCTGATATTCAAGATCTTTAAAGAAATCAGACGTGACACTTTTGCTGCCTTTTCAAACTCTCTCCTTCAGCGTCTGTGTTTGCATCTCACCGTCATGTCCGTCTGTGGGAATCTGCGAGCTGTTGCTCTTCGAACTGCTCTTGCTCCTCTTGCTGCTCTGGGACGTGATCGAGGGGTTTGACTGCAGTTTTCTGTTGTGCTTGGGTCCAGCTGAAGATGACGAGGAGGTGGACGAGCCGCCTTTTGGGAGGGAGCCCAGCTTGGGATGCCTGTGAGAGCCGCCGTTTCTGACGGGGTGGGACTGGAGTGTGTGCAGGTGAGGCAGGTGGTGCGGACAGTGCGTGTCAGGGGAGTGCGCGTGCTCGTGGCTCTTGGTTCCGTTGCGTAGCAGACTGCTGGGCTGAGACCGACATGGCTGCGCCTGGTGGACGGGCGTGGATCTGGCTGCTGGTTGAGCTGTGAAACCAACAACAGTCCACACGTTTACACCAGAATAAAGAACAAATATTTAAAGCAACTGAAACCAGTACACAGCTAATCAATGTCCATGCTAATATAAAAAAAATGTGGAAAATCTCTACCTAAATTCAGCTCTGATTGTGCAGCAATATTATTTTACTGAGCTGTAGTTTTGTAAAAACCCCCTAAAAAAACAAAACAAGTTACTCCATTATGATGTAGATTTCAATATTTGATGTGAATATTTGTGATAAAATACATCAATTTGAAATAAAATCAAATACTTTACACAAGCGACATTAGTTTTAAAGAAATAATTTATTTATTTTAAAGCAATTCTTTTGAACAGTTAATATGTTAACTGTTTAGCTCTTTGAAAGACTTCAGCTTGAAGAAACTGTTTTATCCTGACAGGACTGATGAGCTAATGGCTAGTCCGCATGGGACCGAAACAAAAGAGATGACCGACATCTTAAAACAACTACAGATAATTGAAAGTTTCACTGTGGTTTATGTGAAAAATTTATTAATCTTAGTTCATGTTGTATTACATGGTTATATTTACAGAAATGTTATATTCCTGTAACATGGAAATGACGTCTTGCAGTTAGCTGCTGCTGCTACGCTCTGCACTTGCAATTAATCATAAAATTCTATATGAAAAATCATGTAATATAAAACTATACAATTAAAAAGAATTGTGAAACACAATTTGCATGAACTGCTATGACATTTTTCAAATTGTATTTATTTTAAAATGGCAGTAGCACACATTAATCCTAGCCGTTGGCTCACCAGTCTTGTCTGAACTAAAGTCTGTTTCTCCAAAATGAGATCCTTCAAAAGTTTATCATAAACAGGTAAGATATTTGGTTTTTACCTGTTCACAGAACCCCACTTCAAACGATTTGAACTACACTTTTATTGCAGACGAGCGCTTGGACTCAGGCAGAGGGGGTGCTGGGAAACTGAGTCTAGTTATGAAACAGACTCACTGATGGGATGAGCTGCAGTGTTTGTTTACTGGGCTGACCCCTGGTTCTCCTCGTCTAGACATTTACACAACTAGAGGGAACATGCAGAGATGTGTGTGTGTGAGTGGGGGTAGGGGGTATCAGGACGAGACAGGACAGGACAAAAGCTACAGCCTACAGATACCAAAAAACCCTTTTGCATAGTTACTGCCATTTTCTGATGAAGCAGTTTTCACATAAAGTCTACAAATCTCCAAGTGCAAACACTTGGAAGTGCTGATCTTGGCTCGGTGTGCTGAATATTTTATGTGTAAATGCCACTGAGAATCAAAAAGTTTTAAAAACTTGAGCAAAAAAAAAAAAATCACACAAAAAGCCTGGCTTGTGCATACTGCACAAGAAAAACTCTTGGATCTGACTTCTTTCTTTTTGTGAGCTGAAATCTTGATGGTGAAAAGACATACGGCAAGACTTAACGTGAACCAAGACAAGCACACACATACATACAAACATGTGTGTATGTGTATGTGTATATATATATATGTATGTGTGTGTATATATATATATATATATATATA